TGAAAGGAGATTTCCTTCTGAGCTGGTGAAGCCAGGGATGGTGAGGATTTGCATCAGGAGCTGGTTAGAAAGACAAGAAAAGAACGTTATTATTCAGAATAGTGAAGAACAACAGGTAAGTGAAACAAGCTCTGTTTCTATTATCTGTTATTAATAGCAGTTATTTAATATTAGATCCCTTGAGTTTACTGAAGCAATTATTTAGATGTTAGGTCGACACAGTGCCGAACACTGGAATACTTTGTAATAAACCAATAAATTACAAGCATTTTGTTTGTTTGTTGTTTTTTTGCTTTTAATCCAGAAATTTGAGATCATGTAATATTAGCTTTAACATTTGGCTTGCTTTTCATATTAAGGTTTTCAGTCCCTGAGAAGAGCCATCCAAGCAAGAGAGAATATTAAATGCCATCATTTTGGCCAGGAACTTATATGGAGATCATAAATTACACCGGGACATATGTTTTGGAGAATGTTACGTTCCAAGTGAAATTTTTGTTTAAGTCTATCAGGAAAATTAAGATCACCTACAAAATAAAAGAAGACAAACTTATTTTTTTGTAATATGGAAATGACTTACCGAAATTCTAAATTATTTCTAATGAAGAAGGGCATCTTTTTAAACTGAAAGAAATAAACGATAGAATAAAAAATAAAGAAGCAGATGAATCCTCTTTGTTTCATTCTGACATTGATAAATGGTCAATTCTGGGGAAAATTAAAAATGTTTTGTATGAAGATCAATCTTGGCAACACATCATCACTGAGGTAAAGAGTAACATGTCATGCTGATTTTAAAATTGTATTTTGTTTGATGTAATAGATCAAATTTTACTGGTTTGGTTACAGATCACTTTGAGGGTCTGATGAAAATTTTATACACTGTCCTTAGGAGAATACACACTTCAAATAAACAAAGAATGTTACATAAATGGACTCCAAGTTAACAATCCCTGCTACCCATTCTACTCTTAAAAGCTGCAACTCAAACAAAGCTTTTATTTGCAATTACTAGATGAGTGGAAATATGGCTCTTGAGGGTTTATCACTCCAATGTTATTTGGTCATTGGTTAAGTTTGACATTATGATAATAATAATTCTCCTAATCCTGCCTATTCTTTTGTGAAATTTGCATTCTTTATAAAAACTATTTGTGGACCTGAGATGTGAGGTAAATCTCTAAGGATCCATACATAAAACAGGACCTAACTCAATCTGCCAGGCTTCCATGTCTGGCAGACACTATGTCGGGCCCAGGAGCTGTGGTTCCTGAAGTGGGTGCTCAGATGCCCTGAGGTGGTGAGGCAAACTCTTGGGGTCATTGCAAGAGATCTTATATTTTTGAAAAACACAGTGCCATTTGCCACACAACAGAACTACTAGCCCACGGTGCTTCAGTTTCAATGTTAAATCACACTTCTTCCTTTTCAGTGATGTCATCTTTGTGAAGCTATTTTTGCACAGCTGCTCTGATAAAAGAAAACAAGCAGTGCATGAAAACCAATGTGGAACAGAAAATGATGGGGGTGACTTCCAACCAGATTTTAAGATAAAAGAAGTTGTGCAATGCCCCCCGAACCACACATATCCCATTAGTAAGTAAGTATTTAAGAATGAAATAAAAATATTTTTTCCTTTCAATTTATATGTATTGTTTCTTTTTCCCTTTTGGAAAAAGTAGCCTTTTGCTACTAAGTTGTTAGGACAGAATATTTATTTTTTGGAGGGTCTAACTATTTAAAAATGGAACTATTAAGTGTTTCTTTTGGTCTGTGGGCAACATGAAAAATGCAGATACATTAAGGGCATTGTGAACCAAAAATGTTTGGGAACGACTGTCCTAGAGGGGAAATAACTATCAGACCTGGCCCCTGCCTTCTAGTTACTCAGAAAGACACAGATACTGCTGCACACAGTAGTTTAAAATAAACTAGGTTATTTGCCATAACAGGAATATGGACAAAATTCAAAGAGCTAAGAAATCTCAGGTGTCATTCTGTTAGAGGTAGAAAAAAAAAAAGAGAGTTGAGGTGCTGTATGAATTTAGCATCAAAAAAGAGTAAGATTTTAATAGGTAGGGAAGGGAGGAAGAGCATTCTTCTCTGAGTGAACAGCATGAACAATGGCACTGAGACAGAAACATCCTATTTGGCTGGAAAGAGGAAGGGCAAGCAGTGGCAAGAAATAACCAGGTGGGAAGAACTGCAATTTTTCCTGTGGACAATAGGAAGATATTGGAAGTTTCCAGGTTAGGGTATGACCAGAATCCTGCCTTAGAAGGCTGCTGTGATGTACAGTGATAGGAATGTTGGTTTAGACAAGCTAGGCAGAGAAACTGTTGAAGATGACTATAGTTTCCAGCTTGGATTAAACCTCTTGTTTGCACAAATTGCACTTTATTCATTTACATATTGATACTACCTAGCACAAGCCTGGTTAATTTGAAGCACTGAATAAATTTTGGAATGTGAAGTACCTGGGGAAACAGAGAAATATCTTATGGTAACTATGGGGAGATATGCTACAGCGCAGGACAGAGGTCAAACTTGTTGTGTCAATTTGGAAGTCATCCACGTAGAAATGAGAGAAGGAACTGACAAAATGAAATTTCACAGGGAGCAAATGTAGATTGTAAAGAGAAGCAGCCCAGTGACAGATCCCTGGGGAGCACCCACCCCTGGGAGCAGAGGATGCTCTGCCAGCAGAAAAGACAGCGAGGGATGGAGTGGCATTGCAGGGTGAAGAGCAGAGGAGCACGGTCCCAGGAAGCAGAGCTATCTGGGGGCAGGGCCCATAGACCAGCCATAGTATCAAACACAGGGGGAGAAATCCTACAAGGGAGTACTGGATGTGACCATCAGCAGGTCTTTCGCGACCTTGGGGAGGACAGGTTCAGTAGGATTTAGAGGTGGAAGCCGAGTTGCAATGGAGGTGACCAGAGGGGCCCTTCCCGAGCAGTTTGGTGGTAAGACGGATCTGGAAGGGGGGCTTTAGGTGAAAGGGAGTTTGTGGGAGGTGGGCTTTAGGACAGAAGTAACCTGACTTGGAATGCTGTAGAGAGGAGTAGAACAAACAGGCCCCGTACAAGGGAAGGAGAGCATCTAGTGTCCAGTGAGGACCGAGGGGGTGGCATGACAACTGAGTCAGCTCCTTTTCTGTTCCTCCCTTTTATTCTTCCCTTCTCTTGCCCTTTCCCTTCTGTCCCATCACCCAGAGCCAGAGCAGGAGTGAGGGCCCGAGAGGGTGAGGAAGGAGTCTGCACAGGAGGGAGGGAAGCCTGGAGTGCAGTGTGGGGCCTGGCTGAGGGGAGAGGAGAGTTTTGTGCTGGTGGGGGCCTGGCAGGGGTGTCAGAGCTGTGAGGAGTGGGGGGAGCAGATGCAATGAAGTGGCACAGTGATGTCAGGGAGATCTCTTACATGCAGGAAGATTGATCAGATAAGTAAATACATGAAGAATAAGGGGGCTGAACTGCTCACGGCTGCAGCAGGAAGTTACAAATACGAAAAGGGAGAAACTTGGAATGAACTCTGTTGTTTTGAATTGGAATTGAAGATATCATTGTGGCTCATGGATTTCAATAGGTGTAAGTACATATTTAAAAAAAACAGCTCCAAGTGCATGTGTATAATATAATAACACACATGTACATGTTTCCTTAGTTCTACCTGCTGAGAGGGTTGAGAAGGACTGGGAACAGCAACATTTCAGTAGCAATGAACATATCTAGCACAAACTTGGCTTTTTGCTGTTGTTGTTGTTTATTTTTTATTTTTTTTAATTTTGTATCATTAATATACAATTACATGAGCAACACTGTGGTTACTAGATTCCCCCCATTATCAAGTTCCCACCACATACCTGATTACAGTCACTGTCCATCAGCATAGTAAGATGCTATAGAATCACTACTTGTCTTCTCTGTGCTATACTGCCTTCCCCATGCCGCCTGCCCCACATTATATGTGCTAATAGTAATGCCCCTTATTCCCCTTCTCCCTCCCTTCCCACCCATCCTCCCCAGTCCCTTTCCCTTTGGTAACTGTTAGTCCATTCTTGGGTTCTGTGAGTCTGCTGCTGTTTTGTTCCTTCAGTTTTTTCTTTGTTCTTACATTCCACAGATGAGTGAAATCATTTGATACTTGTCTTTCTCTGCCTGGCTTATTTCACTGAGCATAATACACTCTAGCTCCATCCATGTCATTGCAAATGGTAGGATTTGTTTCTTTCTTATGGCTGAATATTCCATTGTGTATATGTACCACATCTTCTTTATCTATTCATCTACTGATGGACACTTAGGTTGCTTCCATTTCTTGGCTATTGTGAATAGTGCTGTGATAAACATTGGGGTGCATATGTCTCTTTGAATCTGAGATCCTGCATTCTTAGGGTAAATTCCTAGATAAGAGAGGGAGAATATCTAGTGTCCAGTGAGAACCAAGGGAGTGGCATTATGACCTAGTTGTTTCCTTTTCTGCTCCTCCCTTTTTCCCTCCTTCACTGAAAGAAACCAGGAGAAATGGCTGATCCCCAGGCTGGGGACAGACAAGTACACAGTGAAAGGACCACCAGTTGTGGTGCCAGAAAGCAAAGTACCCAGGCTGGAGAGTGTGGTGGGGAGGCAGCCCATGCCAAAGGGACACAGAAGCCTACCTGAAGTGGCTTCTCTGGCCAACGTGGTCACAAGTTAGGATCAATATAATGCTAATAAAAGATTATGTCCATTGAATAAAATAGGAAATCATGAGTCTGTGCAAATAAATAGCTAGGTTAATTAAGTGAAAGAAAGTTTGATGAGGAACAGGGTATTTACAAGTTTGGTAGTAGCTCCCACAAAACACTTATTAACTAAGAAGGAACAAAGGGTAACTTTACAAAGAGAAGCTTGGTCAGCAATCCAAGTGAACATCATCAATAACATATCAAATGTAAACCATGTGCCACCTGAGAGGTGGCAGTGAGAAGAACACAGCATCACTTCTGTGACATATTACCTTGAATCTAATCATCAGGAAACATCAGACAAATTTGAATTGAGGGACATTTTGCAAAATAACCTGCCTGTAATCTTCAAATGTGTCAGAATCTTCAAACATGTCATGAAAGGTAAGATTACAGAACTGTTTCAGACTTAAAGAGACTAAAGAGACACAACAATTAAATACAGCAAGTATATCTAGACTGGATCTGTTTGCTGTAAAGGAAACTATTGGGACAACTGGCTAAAGTTGAATGGGGTCTGAGAATTAGATGGCATAATTAATCAATGAAATTTCCTTATTTTGATAGTTGCATACTGCTTATCTAGGAGAATCTCTTTGTTTGTAGAAATACACATCAAAATTGGAAGAGAAAAGGAAATTGGGAAGAAAAGGAGGAAGGAAGGAAATAATATAGAGAATGGAATACTGCACAATAATGAAACTGAATGAACTAAAGGTAAGAAAATCAGTCTCAGTAAGTCTCAAAATAGTAATTTTGTACAAAAAAAGAAGTCATAAAATAATAGAGTTTAATACCATTCATATATGGTTAAAACTGCAATACTACATATTTTTAAAGGAAACACAAATATGTAGTGACATTCTAAAAGCATGCATCAAAATGATAGATAGTGCTCACCTTTTGGGAGGGAGGAATATAAAGGATGAGCATGAGGAGGGTGTCCGCAAGTGTCTCGTTTATGTGTTGCTGCAATTAGCAGACCATCCCAAACCTCAGTGGCTTTAAAGCCACAGCTATGTATTTGCTCATGACTCTCTGCATTGGCATTTGGGCAGGGTTCAGCTGGGATGGTTTGTTCTGCTGCATGTGGTGTCGACTGTGCTCACTTATATATCTTTGGCCAGCTGGTCCCAGATGTCCTTAGAGGTCTGGAGTCTCAACTTTGATGTGTAAACCTCTCTCTCTATAATCTCTCTCCATGAACTCTCAACCTCAAGGAAGATAGCAGGCTTACACACTAGGTGGCAGCTTTCCAGGAGGGTGATAGAGGAAGCTGTGAGGTTTCTCTCTGAAGGCCAAGGCTTAGGAGTCCTATGTCACTTCCACCATGTCCTATTGTCCAAACAAGTCACAGAGTCAAGGGGTGGAGGAAGAGGCCCTTGATGGGAGCAGCTACAAAGAGTTTGAATTCATATTTGAAGTACCACATAGGAGCTGCCACTGTATCGTATTTTATTTATTCAAATCTAGCAACATATATATGATTTAATAATATGGAGAATTAGATACAGTTGTTTATTACCTTATTTCCTATACTTGGCCTTTATGTTTGAAATACTTCACAATTTAGAAAAAGAAAATTAAATTAAAAATGGTTGCAACAGATTTATTCCCAGATAGGCATCCTATAGAGACTGTAAATTCATTTAAGCTCCTTGGAATTGTTGCTCCAGAATTGTTCAGGTTCCTGCCATTTCAGAACCCAGTTGTCCAGCTGTCTTTTCAATACCAGAATATAATCCATAGATGTCAAAAATACACTTATTATAAAAAGAAAACTATATATGAAGAAAACTTTTCTGTGTAACAGGAGTTCATGGCTGAGCTGCAGAGGGTGCTTCTGATCCATGCACTTGAGGCATCTATTTATTACCACTGATTTTCACAGAGGTTGAGAGACTCTTGGGCTAACCTCTGTCCATAATGAATATTCAGAGATCTGCGGACAGAGGGCGAACTAGGGTGGCCCTGATGGGTGTCACATTGCAGAGGTAAGAGTGGTGCTGGTCCCTTGATGGGCAAGGACCACAGGAATGGAGAGGACTGGGTTAGCCCCCAGGCTCAGCAGCATGGCCTGACTGTGGGATGAAGTTATGGTTCCTAGCACATGGGGCTTGTAATAAAGAAAATGACCCCAGGCCAGTCTGTGTATCAGAAAAAGAGTTTTTGAGAATTGAAAGGGCTACTCTGCTGAAGGTTCCAAAAGTGACAGGAAAATAGGAGTGTTTTCCTTCTCAATTTGTATAAGATGTCCTGACGTTCTTACCTCCAAGCATTTTGATGCTTGTCTGGTATTATCAAGATGGGGTGGGGCAAATCCCCCTTATGTTGGAGGCAATGGCCATGTGACTAGATTCCCCAGCCTCAGAGTGGCTTCTCTGTGAAAATATGGGCCAGGGCCAGAAAGTCCAGACTTGGGGCCTGACCAGCTACCAGGCTTGTTTGCATACCATAGGCACAGCCCTGGGAGTCCCAGAATTATTAAGGAGGAGGATTTTTCAAAAAGCATCTTCTTCTAGTCAAAGAATTGGGAGCTTGCGTCCATTAAGATTGGAGTTTTACTCCTAATGGGACTTAAGAGATACTACTCTCAATGGCTTTAGACAATGCATTTGTATTTTCATAGCATTAATGCAACTAACATTTAGCAAGTCTTTAATTACAAGAAGTTTATGGCATCTGTACAGAACTCATTTCAAATTCTAAAGCCTCAGGACACTGAAAACATTGTTAGAATGTGTTTTCTTTAAGTACTGCATTTACTCAGACTATCCCAGAGAATAAACTACCCTACCAGCTTTGGGTTTTGTGGGTGGTTTCTTTTATTATCTGATGATCACAATGATGACAATACAACCGTCAGCAGCCTCAGTGGATCTGACACCCTTTCCCCTTCCCATCCTGTAACGAATACCAAATTCTTCTGTTTGGGTTAGTTTTTGTTTTAGTCAACATTCTCCACAAAAACAGAATCAAAAGTGTGTGTGTGTGTATTTCTTTATTTACTAGAAGGCATTGGATCACAGATTATGGAGGCTGAGAAATCCCAAGATCTGCAGCTGGCAAAGGGGAGACCCAGGAGAGCTGATGGTGTAAGTCTGGTCTGAGTCCAAAGGCCTAAGAACCAGGAGAGCCAATAGTGGAGTTCCACCCTGAAAGCCAGCAGAAGAGCCAATATTTCAATTCAGGTTGAAGGCCAGAATTCAATGATGTCCCAGCTCAACGTGGTCACGCAGAAGGAGTTCTCTCTTACTTGCAGGAGGGTCAGCATTTTTGTTTTATTCATGCTTTCAACTTATTGGCTGAGGCCCACCATATTAGGGAGGGCAGTCTGCTTTACTCAGTCTTACCTGTTCAAATGTTAATCTCATCCAGGGCCACAGTTCCACAGAAACACCCAGAATAATGTTTGGCCAAATATCTGGATACCCTGTGGCCCAGTCAAATTGACAAAGAAAATTTAACCACCACAGGTTTATTACATACAATAAGATTCATGAATTTTAAATGTGTAATTCACTGGGTTTGATAAATGCATAAAGCAATGTAACTACCACCACAATCATGATACAGAAAATTTTCAACAGCCCAGAATGTTTCCTTGTGCCTTTTGTGGTTAGTTCCCTGCCATGACCCACTGACCCCTGCCAACTACAGATGTGCTTCTTATCAGGATAGATTCCCTTTTCTAGAATTCCACGTAAATGAGACCACACAAGATGTAGGCTTTTGAATCTGGCTTTTTCAATTAGCATATTCTTTTAAGATTCATCCATACTGTTGAATGTCTCATTAGCTCATTCCTTTATATTGCTGAGTAGTCTTCCATTGTATGTAAATATTCTACAGTTTGTTCATCCATCCATTCCTTGAAGGACATTTGGGTTGTTTTCATTTTTGGCAATTATTAATACAGCTGCTATAAACATTTGTATATAGGATTTTGTGACAACATAAATTTTCATTTCTCAAGGTCACCCAAGGAGTGGGATTGCTGGGTCATATGGAAAGTATATGTTTAAGTTTGTAAGAAGCTACCAAACTCTCTTGCAGAGTGGCTGCATCATGTTGCATTCCCACCTGCAATGCAGGAGAAGCCTAATGCTAAGTATATTCCTAATAATTAGTATTTCAGGACAATGAAGGAAGTATAAGGAAGAGCAAAGAGAGAGAAATCCAACAGAAACTGGTTGCTCTAAAAACAAACTAAGCTACTTTACATGGGAGAACATCAGAGTTTAGATATTTGAGGTAGGAGAGAGAAGAAAAAAATGGTGATAAAGAGGCAATTATCACTTTAAAAGGTGAATATTTGCTGAAACAAAAAGAATTACAGGTTGTGAAAATGGCCTGTGGCAGAGAGAGTTGGAAGAAAAATAAACAAGCCTTATGTAGTAAACAAGCCAACAGTTAGGAAAAACAGACGTGATAAATAAAGGTAGTGAAAAACATTTAATATAAGATACTTCTCCCCTCATTTTTTGTATTACTCTAACTGCATTGTGTCCTTATTATTGATGAGTGGTTTATGTTCTTAATATTAATTAACTACTAATGTATATACAAGACATACCTCTGTGTGAGGGCGTATAGCATAGTACAGTGCCTCTTAAACCTTAATATGCCTAGAAATCACTGGGGATCTTGTTACTGCAGGTTCTAATTCAGCAAGTCTGAGGGCCTGAATTTCTGCATTACTGAAGAGGTTCTAAGTGAGGACAGCACTGCTTGGCTGCAGACTGCAGACTGGTGATTGAGTGCAGACTCTGGGGCCACACTGCACACTATCCTGATAAGAAGCACATCTGCAGTGTGCACAAATCCTACCAGTTGCATTTATAGCTGTGTAAACCAGGGCAAAAGTCTTAACCTCTCTACCTTAGTTTTCTCATCTGTAAAATGAGAATGATAACAGTCCCCTGTATTTCACAGGTCTATTGTGAGGATTACATGAATTATTATGTGTCAAACACTTAGAAGAGTGCCAGGCACATAGTAGGTGCTATGTCATATTCCTCTAGCTTTTCAGTAGGTTGCAATGGCCAATGCAGTAGTACATCTAATGGCTTTAAGCCACATTGGCTGAGTCCTGCATTGTGCGTTAGTCCCTCCTAGATCCTGTGCCATACTTCTGGAAGCCACCAGTTCTACTAGTGGTGCTAATTAAGGGATTCTATAAAGAGGCATTAGACTGAGACTGCCTTAGAAAAAAGAAAAACCCCTGAAAGGATTTCAAACAGATTGACTATTCAGTGTACTTTACCTATTGGAAATGTCACCAGGTTCATTCCCATGGGGTGACTGGGACCTCCACACAAAAGATTTCCTACATGCCGGACTAGAGTGGGGATGGTGCTCAGATAGTGTATTTGAAAGAATTTCCAGCCTAACCTGAAGGCCCAGTTGATAGCTAAGAGAGCTGCACCAGTGCCCTTCTCTCTGCAAGAACCAGGCAGCCTCTCAGCTGCACCAGCCAATGAATAGAATATCTATTGTTGTTTGCATCCTGCCCCTTTAATCTGCCTCCAGCACCCCTGTAGACATCCTAATTGGTCTTCTGGAAACAGCCTTCTTTGGCCTGTCAGCTCTGATCTGTGTTCGTGGCCCACTTTCATCTCCCTGCTTGCTTGGCGTATTGCTCTATTCTCATAGTTTTCTGATGTTAAACTGCAGCTTGTAGAGCTTGGATGATCTTCATACCATTTCTGCCTCCC